GGGAAATCGTTTTCCGGCGATTTTTATAGGAATGGAAGAGAAGAAATGTGAAACGTTCAGTACGAAATTGTCACGTAATTTTTCCCGAAGAAGTCAAATCTCACAGAAAATTGGCGACTTATTGTGCCTCAAAAATCAAAAATTCTTGAACGTTCAACAATTTTTATGAAGCTGGTGAGTTATTTCTACGTTACGTTCCGTAAAATTTGTCAATCGCTGGGGAAAAATTACGGAACGACTTGTTGTCCCCAGCGGTGAGTCATCAGACGGCGGGTTAATTTTTACGGAACACATCGTAGAATTTACGTGGCGATTGAATTTTTATTGAATTTTACTTCGCTCGCGGATTACGTTTCTAAACGTAATTTTTTCGTTCTTTTCTGGTAATTTTTACTGAATTTTTCTCCGTGTATTAATTTTTGTAAAATTGGTTTTCGATTATCGCATTATTAAAGCCAAAAAATTGTTGGCTTTATTTTTCACTACATTGTAGAAAATAGTGTTTTCAAGACGTCTTAATTTGAGACATTAGACGTAAAAATGTCTGTCATTGATTGATTTCGCGCCGACTGAAATTACAAATGTCTCCACAGAGCGAAAAATAGATAAAAATTGCCAAGAAAATCGTGGCAAATTTTACTGTAAAAAATACCAGTTACCGGAGGATATTTTCCGATTCGTTCGATGAAAAAAAAAACACATCAATGGAAAAATTGGTGAAAAATTAGCAAATGGATTGTTAAGATTTGAAATCTTGAGATGATTGATGCCAACGGAAAAATGGATGGAGTCACTTCCATCGGACATGAAATGTTCGAAGAAGCGCCCCAACGGTGCAGACGGAGATGGAGAAACGTACTTAACGAACGTAGAAGTTCATTAAAAGCGAAACTACATTAGCCAACCTAAAATTACCACTCCTCATTCAACCTCCGTTCGTTTGGTACCATACTTCTACCTCCTTTTCCCGTGGGGATCCTTCTCCAGATTATTAACCGAGAATTCTACGCGCGTAATAGTATTTTCAGAAGGACGTTGGAATGAGGAGACTAAAAAAAATCCCACCCGACACCCGATAGGAAATAGATCTACTTCGATGGGGAATTGAAACAGCTAGGAATAAAACGGATGATGTGAATTAGTAGAGTGAAAAGATTTGTGGAAAAATCAGCGGAGCTATCTCCGCGGGAGATTGTCTTCGGGCTAATGTATTCCAGAAATCGCGATGGAGACTGCGCAGATTGTGACATCGGGTGTTGAACGATAATGGAATCGTTCTCCGATTATTCCAGAAATTTCATTATTGAGGAGCTGAATAGATGCCACGGAATTATTTCCTAGTAATTCCATCAAGAAATTCCATTTCCTCGTATGTCTTGCAATTTTATCTGCAATCGTTTTGCTCCTGAATTTCAATTCAATTCTGGGGGAATTCTGTTTGTGTTCCCATATACGGAAACAAAATATATCTGAATTGAATATAAAATCTAATTGATTTAAGTATTTAAAATTTAATTAATTCATGTTTGAAATTCAGACAAATTATCATTTTATTCTGAAAATTAAAATTACGCAAAAAATTGAATTTAAATTTTATGTTTAATTTTAATTTAATTTTAATTTAATTAAAGTTTTTTTTCTTCATTAAAATTTGTTTGAATTCCACGAACAGGTGCCTAAACATCATAATTCATGTTTGAAATTCTGACAAATTGCCTTTTTATTCATAAAATTAAAATTAAAATGAAATGAAAATTAAATTGAAATTAAATTTTAATGTCAATTTTCATAAAAAAATTAAAATTAAAATATTTTCACAAAATAATTAAACTAAAATTTAATTTCAATTTAATTTTAATTTAATTTAATTTTTTTTCTTTATCAAAATTTGTCTGAATTTCACGAACAGTTGCCTGAACATCTTAATTCATGTTTGAAATTTAAAGAAATTGTCATTTTATTCAGACGTTCATTAGTGTCTGAAAAAAGTCTACAAAAGGTGTGTGAAATTCCCACGTTCGTTTTTGCATTTTTAAATTTTATATTCTCTCCACATTCATAATAAACTGGATCAACTTGAATAATGCTGCACAAGACTGCTAATCGCTATTTAAAAAAATAAAGTGTCCAGCATGGAAAACGCACCACTAAAACCGTAATATCCAGTTGGAGTAGAATCCATTGAAGGCTGATAACCCGCGGGTGTGTTGCCGAGGCGATTGTTTCTACGCTCAATCGCATGTTAAATGGTTTGTTTTCATTCCTCATTATCTCCGGGGTTTATTATTCCCCCTGTTATCGAATTTATAACCTGTGACGTCAGAATTATCGCTGGCAGAATTACAACAAAGAGCCATAACAATAAGGACGAATAAGCGGGGGAAGAGGGTGGAAAAAAATTTCGATAGCGCCGAGCTAAACGGGGAATTGGAAAACACCAGTTCAATCGTTAATTCTCCGCTTATCGCCACTCGAAAATTGAATTTTTATCGCTGCAATTCAACTCTCGCACCACCGAAATGTATCAGTAACCCGCGAAGTCATCTCCAGCCTCAATCCAATGATAATTCGGCTCTGGTTTCATTGTCTTATGAAATTATGTAATTTTGCGATTATTCCAAACACAAAAGCAAGCGATGAGGCAATCCTCCATGCAATTTCAATTAGAATCATCACAAGGATTATCTCATCTAGTCGACAATTACCGCAGCCTGATAAACAAAACAATTTCTCATTAGAAACTTGAGCAAGAAATCGCTATCACTGAATTTCTTTTTCCGACAATCGATATTATTTCTATCCTCTTCTTTGAAAAAATCACGTTATTAAATTGCATCAGAAAGGTCGCTTACGAAATAGTACTCGCATTCTGCGAGTCTCTTTATCAAGCTCCGAGAAATCGTTTGCGGAGGGGAGAAGCGGTTTTGCGGGGAAAAAAATAAATCTGTCTAAATATCGCTATCGTTACATCGGTGAGCGGTTTATCGCTGAGTTTGCCTTCACGCCTCGAGGCTTGATAGCTCCGGACAGACTTGCATCATTCATTTACGCTGGAGTTTGAAATTTTTACGTGGGTTACATCATTGAAAATGGGGCATTCATTCATTCAGCCATTTTCGATGAACTTCCCGATGGCAATCTGATTGAACTTGATTGGCGATCATAAATAGTCATCGAGTGCGAGGGGATTCCATGTGAAATCGGCGTGGACTTTTCCTCGTGCGATAGGAGAGGAAAAATTTTTATAGTGAAAAATGAAATTCCGTTGAATTATATCGTAATCGTGACGATTGCTGATGTATTGAGCACGACGGGGCTTTTTTATTGTCAGTAATGGGGGAACGGCCGGTTTTTAAGGTATTTGTTAGAGCTTTAAGGGTTTTCAAGCACTTTGGCTATTTTTTTCTTCAGTGAAATGTTTTATATTGACCCGAAGCTTTCGGACGTTTTACGATGATTTTATAAACATAAGAAAACATTTTAAAAATCTGGAAAACAAATTGGAAAGTATTTTTGCAGGAAAATTAATGAAATAATTTAAAAATTGCAATTTTTTAAAATTACAAGCGTTTTCTATAAATAATTTATAAACAATCAATGTTCCATCATAAAAATCATTTGTTCGAAACCGTAACGAATTTATTTATATTCAGAATTCAGAAAGAATATTCAGAATTTTACCGAAAGTTTCAACAATTTCAATTATTTATTTATACAACAAATGTTAAAAAAAATTAAAAATTTTTCGGACATTTTACAATGATTTTATTATTTAAACTTTGTAGGTCTGAATTTGAATTTCAATATTAAACCATTAGAAAACACTTTAAAAATCTGAAAAAAATAGGAAAGTTGGCTTTTGCGGAAAAATTAATGAAATAATTAAAAAACTGCAATTTTTAAAAATTACGAACTTTTTCTGTAAATAACTTGTAAACAATCAATGTTTCATCATAAAAATCATTCATTCAGAATTATTTTTCATTAGTTTTATTGATATATTATAATGTTCATTTAATTAATGTTACCCTATTATCAAAAATAATTATAATGAATTATTGGATCATCATATTACATTCTGATTACAATAAATTCGCTGATATTTCATAGAATACACAAATGAGACTGTATATCACATAAAACATGTTTTCACATACATATTGTTCCCGCGTAAGCAGAAATGATATGAACAATCATGTTATTGTGAACAAATTTGATTAATTGAATATAAACAAATGCGGATGAATCTACTCTGGCGCTCGTATGTCTGGGTTCATCCGAAATTTACGACATGACGAGTTGTCACTATCGCTGGCTGAATTTCGAAATAGCCAGGAAGCTGAACTGATTGGATAGTCAGTGGAAAGAAGATAACGAAGGCTTATTGGAACAGATGTTTGGCGACGTAAAAAAAGTATTCTTTATTTACTGATTTGCTAAAGTATATCGTAATAAAACATAATGTTATTTTTGAAAATATCGAGTTGAAGCATACGGAATGAAAACTTGTCAGCACAGAATTTATGCGAATAAAACGTAAAATTTCCCGTAATTTTCGTTTTAACAACAACAAGAATCAATTAGTACATTGAAGAATGAAAAAAATCCAGTGAAAATGACTGAACAAACTCACAAATTTCATTGTTCGTTACCAAAAAATGACGTTTCAAAATCGAAAATTGAACTTCTGCCTCTCATTTTTCCCCTCCAGCTAAAAATTCCTGAGTCATAAGTTGCTCTCCGATTACTCAGGACAAATGGTAATTTTTACTGTCATTTTTTTCCTCATGTGTCAACAACTCTCATTGACTCCCAAATATTCCTCAAATAACACAAGATTGTCATTTCAATAATTCAAGTGCAAAATATTACAATTCAAAGGTAATCGCCTGCCTCAGCATACATTAAATTCTTATCTGACGCAACATAAGAGTCGTGTGTACAACGCTCGATATAAAAGCGGAGGAACAAATGGTCGTCAAGTCAGTGCTATCAAGACTGGTCAGGAGTGAAGTGTGAATACCGCTAATTTCAGTGCAATAAAAATCGTACGAATAATCACATCTTCCATTGAAGACTATTCCATATCGAAGTGTGCGGATAAATCTGGGGAATTGTGCAATGAACAAAACTAAAGCTACTCTGGCGATGGAGATTCCCCGGAAATTGGATAAGATGACGAAGAAGTGCAAGCCTCAATTCAACCTCGACTACTCGTACTTCAAAACCGCGATGTCAAAGCGTCGAAGAACAGCGGCAACTCGAGAGCTGAGTAAGAATAAATGCCCTTCATGCCCTTCAATGCCAACCGATTTGCCAAATTGCCGAGATAAAACTGATGATGAATTGTTTCCAGCAAAAATAGCTTACTCGATGCCGCACAGCGTGATATCATTAGCGGAGGGGATGCCGAACGAGGAAACTTTCCCTATCGCTGAAATTTCCCTCAAGTTGGTTGATGGCACGAGTCTCGTTCTGGATGGTGATGAACTTGGGGTTGCACTCCAGTACATTCCGAGTCAGGGATATCCACCGCTTGTTGAGGTAATGAGAAGTTGGAAATACATCTCAACAACGTTGAATGTCTATTTGATGTCGTTGGTTGAAGTCAATTGGAAAGTGTCTGCAGATGAAACACATTTGAGTCATTTCAAACTTATGATGTCTTATTTGCACTGACTATCGTATAATTCTGGAGAGCGTATGGCAAAGGGTGCCCAAAGTTCAGCAATTTTTCTTGTCCTTCATCTACAAAATTGACGTACTTACGTCCAAATAATCCGTACATATGTGATTCTTCCTGATGATTCTCCCCACATAAAATCTCATGTCAAATGATTCTTCCACGCAGGCAATGAGAGACTACCAAAAGAGAGCGCATAACCCCCCGCTCTGGGAGAGTCGAGACATTGTAGTGGTGGCAGGAAGTCAAGATGGTTTGAGCAAAGCTTTGGAAGCCATCATCGGACCCGGGGACCCGATCCTCGTGCAGGATCCCTTCTACCCGGGAGCTAGTGTTGTTGTAAGTCCCCAGGAAAACCTCCCCCACCCCAACCAAACTGATCACCATAATCAAGTCACCTTCTGATCCATCTACACAGCTTTCTCCGCTGCAAGCCGAGATAATTCCCGTCAAGCAGGACAAGCTCGGCATCATCCCGGAGAATCTCCGAGAGACCCTGATAAAGAGGGAATCCGAGGGAAAAGAGATGCCAAAGTTGATGTACATCAACGCATCTGGGGCAAATCCGACGGGTACAGTCATCCCCTTGGACAGGCGGAAGGAGATCTACAGAATCGCCTGCGAATACAATTTCCTCATTCTCGATGACGATCCGTATCACTTCATGTGCTTCGACGTAAGTGAAAATCCATCCCTTCGCGATCATTCTCATCATAATTTTTGGAATGAATCGTTCGCGCTTAAGTCATCAAGTCTCATCCCAAAAGCTGACACATTCGACTAAAGCAATGAGTTTCGTATTATTACGTCTTCCAGGAGCAGCCGAAGACCTTTCTGTCCCTCGACACAGAGGGCCGAGTAATCCGATTAGATTCATTCTCGAAGGTCCTGGCCAGTGGCTTGAGACTGGGTCTAATCACAGCAGCAACTCCCCTCGTCGCAAGCATAGAACTACACATGCAGAGCAGTCATCTACACGCATCAACGTTATCACAGGTTAGTGGCACCAGTTAGTAAATAAGAAACAAATCCAATTGACATGATCGTCGAGTGGATTTTTAATCGCTGAGTTATGAGTAGTTCAATCTAATCATCTGAATTCACTAAAGAGAAGAAGGGAACTATGACCGCGGCGCGTGTCTACTTATCGGAATTGATTGAGGAAGTTCAAACGGGTCGTTTAGAGTCACTTCAATCTGTACATTGCACGTCACATGAATTATTGACGATTATTGACGATTAATCGTTAAAACGAGTTATCGGTTTTCCTGTTATCAGGTCCTGTTTTATAAAATGTACAAGACCTGGGGATACAAAGGCTTCATGAAGCATTACGCTTTCATCAGGTCGTTCTACAAGGAGCGACGGGATAAGATGATGGAATTCGCAAGGAAGCATCTCAAAGGTATGAGAACAAGTACTAAAACTTTACAAAGTCGGAGATTTTTCAAAAGCAAGGAGGAAACAGAATCTAACTGAATCTTCGGATCACATCTAGATTTGGCCGAGTTTGATGTACCGAGCGGTGGATTCTTCTTGTGGATCAAGGTCAAAGGAATTGAAGACACCTGGAAAATGGTCATGCAGAATGGGGTGAAGAACGGCGTTTTGCTGGCTCCGGGTGCTGCTTTCATGGCAGATCCTTCGGAGTCTTGCAGCGCCATCCGTGCAAGTTATGCTAAAGCTTCGTATGAGGAGATGGAATTGGTAAGTTATCGAGGGGGAGTACACCCTTGTTACCCTCGTGTTACCCTTCGTCACCTCGTAACTTCTGAAGGTGTTACTCTTTAGAAAGCGATGAAGGGTAGCAAGGGGTAGGTGATTGTGTTACCCTTCACCGCTCTGCCTCGGACGCCCTTCAGTACCTGTGCCTGATTGTGCAGAACTCTACTGTTCACTGTTCACAGGCAATGGAGCGGCTCTCACGGCTCATAAGGGAAGAGTTGCGGTTGCGGGCCGATGATAACACGTAACCACGGAGTCATCTGATCATCAATAGATGAAGATACTTCTGGGATAAACACACGTGCAGTGATAACTGTCCGTCAGTATCTTGACGCAATCTAGGGGGAATTAGATGCAGCGACTATAGATAATATTGTAATCTTAGGAGATGAGAGCTTTCGGGGCCTACAGAGAGAATTTAATCATTTCGGGTAACGAATTTCTAGTATAAAGGAAGACTGTAAATGCTTGTCGAGACAATTTGAGTCTTGCTGGTAACACCTGGTGAGAGAAACTGCAGGAAGTAAACCTTTGGCATGGGAAATATACGTTTTTATTTTGTCTTTGTTCATTTATTACTATTATAATGTGATGTCGCGAGACGTGAGAGAAACGAGACGAGACGAGACAAACAAGACGCGACGAGACAAACGAGACAAGAGACTTAACGAGACGAGTCATTCGAGACAATGACAGAAACGAGACGAGACAAGAGAATGGTTTCCTGACAACGAGACGAGACGATAAGATGCAGTTTCCTCTTGTCGTCTCGTCTCGCGGCATCACAGCTTATCAATGCATCCAGAGCATCTGACGATCTCCAGAGCTCTCTTCAAGTGACTGAGAATAATTTACCGATGGAGGGTAACCGAGCCACCGCTCAGTTATCCTCCGCAAGGACAATATCATCAGGATTCTATAGAACCCTTGGTCCTGCCATCAGGAAGCGCCATCATCATGGCAATAGCATACTATCACGGCAAGTCTCTTGTTCCTCTTTCGGAGAAAGCTGAATGAAGTCAATATCATTCAATCGTCAATTCTTGGTGACTCGTGATGAAGCCATTCATGAAATGTCACGACGATAACAACTCCACCGGTTTTTTACTGACATTCCCGCGAAATTATTACTGACTAATGACTTCTCAATGACTAGATCGACTTTACACACCTTTGACGTATCTCGACGCATGCGCAGGTCTCACTAATCACAATAGAACAGATACAGAGGAAATGTGAGCAAGCCGCAAGTTGAAAATGAGCAGAACAGACGAAAGCCAACTCGACTCCTCTCACTTAACGCTAAACATCTTAACTACCAATTAATTTGCTGGAAATTAATTTAATCTGGCTGGCAACATAAACAGCCGGGACTTGTCCTGCTACCTTCGCTCTCAAATCTACACTTTGATGTCATTAAAAGTTTCTCATTGCAATCATTCCGTTTTGAATAGGATTTAATTCCTCAGGACGGTTGAATGTCTTGTTCATCTGGACGTGGAGAGAACAGTGCGGGAAAAATTGTAGTGCTTGTCATTTAGCGTGCTGTATGGAGAGCAGGAAAGTTCCTCAATTTTTGTAGGAAAGCGCAAGGAAAGTTCAGGGGCGAAGTTGTTGAACGATTCAAGACTAGTTAGCTTAGTTTTTGAGGATTTTCTCAGAATCTAAGGAAGATAGCAACATTTTTGTAAGAACATTTTTTGTGGTGCTTGATGAGCTCTATAAAAAAGGTTATTACAAAAATTTTGCTATCTGCTTGACATTACGAGATATTTACTGAAAATTGATCAACAGTCGAAATGTGGATTCACTTGGATTAAAATTATTAGAAAATTAGAAGATCGCGGGGGATTTTACAGTAAAAAAGACCTAGAAATGGATTTCGCTCTACGATTACTCGATGTGCAAGAAATTTTCTTCCAAAAAAAATTTTCTCCTGAAATTTTCCCTCCACGAAATTACAACTATGGATTTAGGGTTATAGCCACTATTTTCCTCATGCACAGGAGGGTAAAATCCCATGGTGCCATGGGGAGATATAGTGTATATTAAAAGACGTTTCGGGGGTTGTCGGGGGAGTCGTGGAGGGTATCAGCCCGATCATACGAATGGCCACATTTTCGTCCGCGGGATTTGGTAAACAACCTATTCCCACTTCCTCCTTAGCGACTCGCCGGAAATTCTCACTTCCATCTCCCGATCAAAACTCCCCAGAAAAAATACCAGAACTCGCTGAAACATCTCCCCCACCCGAGGTACTCACCTAAACTGCATTTTCGGGGGCTGCATGCGCCAGCCGAGTAACAGACCTCATCTCACCAATTCCCGCGGTATTTCGCTCCCATAAAAAATTTTACAACACGAAGGAAAAACAGCATTTTACAACGCAGGTAAGGAGAGCCCGAGTAAAATGCCTCCGGTGAAAAAAACAGAACGAAAAAAGACAAAATGAGAAATGGGGGTCGTGCAATACGATTGAAAAACGTGACTGTTTCGAGTCTTGGAAAAATAAAAAAAATGCAGAAACGGAAACAGAAAAGGAGAGTCGACAAATCGGAATAGGGGATGGAGAGTTAAATGAAACGCAGGATGAGGGAGAGAAATAAATAAATAATAGAAGACGAAATTTTTTTAATGACGCAGCTAAACAATTCTTGTGCTGGCCCTAGGAACTAGTGACATTAAATTAAATTGTTGAGTGAAAAAATTTAAGAGTAAAAAACTGACGTAATTTCACATTTTATTAGAAACTCCAGAATTTCTATCAATTTTCGTTTTCACTGACCGCCCATTCAATAAACCCCGAACAATAAACTAGGAGAGTAGCAATACCGAGACGATTGAAAATCCTCACTGTCTCGAGTCTCGGGAAAAATACCCAAAACAACGGAAACAGAAAAAAAGAGTCGTCAAATCCGAATGAGGGATGGAGAGTCAAATAAAACGCAGAGCGAATGAACGGAGAGAAATAAATAAGTAAGAAGAGACGAAAGGAGAAAAAACGAAAGAGACAGGAAGTGCTGGAGATTCTGGCGTAAGTCTTGACGCTGTGTTTCGCTCTGTCTCTCTGTGCGATGTATACCGTAGTGGCAAGGGGGTTATTCCCAGGGGGTGGGTGAGGGGGTGGGACGATGAGCGCTAGTCGAGCGAGGAGATTCTGCGGAGGTGAGTGCGAGGCAGGAGTTCTGCCCAGGGAGAGGGCCTGGAGAGGGGCAAAGGGGGAGGGGAATGGGAATGGTCGGCAAGAGGGTGAGGGGGTAACAGAGGGGTAGTGCAGTTTCGTGTTGGCATTACTCTTGATTTCCGTGGTGACGTCGCTACCTCTCGCTATATATACCTCTAGCCACTACTCCCCCTTGTCTTGTGTTTTGCCGTTTCTCCGAGTCCATATTCCCTCTCTCTGTTTTCGTCCCCCCTGTGTGTGGGCATAGCCCACGTGTACGGATGTACTTTGGGAGGTTGATGTGGCACTACTGCGGAACCATTGGCCATGGACCTATCCGGGAGATAGATCTCCACGGTTTTCTCGGGGATCTGGTGGAGTCGGACTTCAGCCGGGTTTTCCTCGGTGTTTCGTTCCTTTTGTGGATTTTTTTTTTTCAATGCTGGGGGGCGATCGGAAAATGCGGTCTGATGGGTTTATTTCGAGGGCGAAATTGCGATTCTTGGGAATTTTTGGGAGGGGAACAGACGCATTGAGAAAAAATTTAATTCTGTTAATCCAATTTTTTTAAGACATGAATTTATGGGGAAATTGCGTATGGAAATTTCGGGCATTTATTTGAATGAAACGAATGTGCGGAGAGAAAGGGTGGATTAAAATTATGTAGAAGATAGGGGAAAAATTTACTACATTATTGTTTACTAAAGTTTCACTGAAATTTCAAGGAATTTTGTCGTTGAAAATTCATAATTCCATGGAAAAATCCGGGGAGAATGTACATTTCAGTTTAATTATTCCGAGAGAATTAATGGAAAACTAGAAAAATGCAAATGCTCTTCTTGAATTCCAGATTCCTCTGAATTTCCAGGGAATTCTTTAAAAATCCTGGAGATCCGAGAATTTAAGAGTTAAACTAAAAAAAAGTTCAATTATTACATAAAAATTGAAGAAAAAAAATCAAGAGAATTCCGGCAATTTCTACAGAAATGATGGAAAAAAATGCGTTGGGGTAACCCCAGCGCACCCTTAAAGGGTTAAACTCCACGATGTATCGCAATATTACGTCAATGCGAGCACTGCAAGACCCATTCGAATATCTCCGATTTTACGTGATTCAAAAAAAGGGTTTGATCTCATTGAGGGACACACAGTGGCCGCGATGGCAATATTGCCAACGATTGCCCAGTAAATATCGGCACGAAAGGTTATAGCCCAGGCTCAGTGTGGCCCCCGTAAACCAAGACATTAAATTTTATAATATTGCGCTGTGTCTCGTGCTACAGCGGGCCCCCTTTCACCCTCGCCCCCTCAGCCCCCTGCGCATACCTCTCCACCCATCGTTGCTTTTATTGGCTATTTACAGAGGAAATGGCTTCTAAATTAACTGCAGAACTGCCAGGATCACCTTGATATTTTCCCCGGGAAATGCAAAAAATTTTTACACAGCAGTTACTCACTACACGAGAGAAAAAAGTTGGTGAAAAATTGCCGAACGAGAGAAGTAATCGCGGAGCTAACTAGATTTTCGGTATTTTTTACCCTGCACTAGAGGAGAATTGTACGCAATATTGAGCAATCATTCACGTTCACTGGGATAATTTCTGGTGGAATGCAGGGGAAATTTGACAGTTTCGGCGCAAATTACCCTCTCGTTCAGTAAATGTTCCCGGGCCAAGTACAACGAAAAAGTACACTGACAGAATGATTCATTTATTTCAAACGAGATTCGTTAACTATAACTAATCCGTTCGTTAACAATAACTAATCCGTTCTATCAGTGTAGTAAAAATCGAGTTCGCTCCGCGATTAGGGTATAACCAGACAAATAGATAGAAAAATTTATACTTCATACCAATATTAATAGCGATGATTTAATGATCGCTAAACATGAAAACCCCAATTTTCTTGAATTTACAAGAAAATGAAAAATTTCATGAACGCTTTCACACGATTGCTTGACGTCTTTGGCAATTCTCCTCCAACTTTTTTCTCCGTGCGCTCACTTCGGTTTTCCCATACTCATTCCGGGCTCCTCATGGGTGTGAACAAACAATGCAGCCGTCAGGGGCTGCGCCCTTGCGCTGAACCGAATCCCTGAGCAGTTAAAGTTAAAATTACCCCGAATCGATATATCGACGATTCGTCTGTACATCGTCGACGGGATTTACCAGGCGAATTGCCCGGTCACCATTTTTAATTGGCGGCTCCCGCTGGGAGGCATCGCGAGTCAAGGGTGATACTCATTCAAAACCTCGGATTGTTCCATTGATAACAACAATCCCAATGACGCAACAGAAAATTCGAAAAATGCAAATGACTTTCGCCTCGGCAATTTCCACTTCCTCCGGGCGATTCGAGTCAAGTCGGCGATAGTTGTAAAAACCC